CCCACTGAGTAAAATGATGTCCAAAAGACGTCTTTTCAACGTCTTTATCACAAAAGTCGGACGTTGAAAAGATGTCCACTGAGGAGCCAGAATGAAAGATTTTATGACGTCTTTTTTTGATGTGTTCTGCACGTCCGATATAGACGTTCATGGACCCTCTTCGGACAATGTTAAAAACTAGTTCAAATGTGGCCATTGTGGAAATATTTTCAACATCATTTATGGTCTCATTTAGAAAATTTATACTGTTTCTGGACCAAATAAACACTCAGGATGCATTAAATTAAAACTCATGTTTATATCAATTTAATTTCCATACATTGTTTAGATGAGGTTTAGATGTTGATGTTTCATTTTAAGTTTCCATTGTGGTGATGAGTGTTTGCTTTAGTTGGGCTCTTGGTCCCAGTTCTTCCTATTTTAACTTTTCTTTGGCTGTTGTAACTGTGTGTTTGTATAATACCATTGTGGCAGAGAAAGCCAAGAAAAAGTAAAATCGGCTGTCATCAGCTCCTTGTTGATGATGACAAAATCATCACAAAGTGAGCATTAAATGTTGTGTTTAGGCTTTTGTCTTTATATCTGGGATTTATAAGCTCCAATCTTGTGGAACTACATTATTTGGACCAGTACCATTAAAATGATCACTTATTTGAAGGTGGATAAAAAAAGCATGTTTACACAATGTTTTGATCAAGTGTATCATGTAGTCACACACAGACATCATGATTCTCAACAACGGTGACAACCAAAACAAAAAAGCTTTGGAATCAAGGATGTTTTGTACTATGAAAGCTACCCATCATGCATTGCAGAATGAAGCTTTTTTTATTGTCACCATTGTTGTGAATCATACGCAAAATCTTGATGTCAGCGTGTGCCTATATGGTACATTTTCTCATAACATTGTGTAAACATGCTTTTTTTATCCACCTTCAAATAAGTGATAATTGTAATGGTACTGGTCCAAATAATGCAGTTCCACAAGATTGGGGCTTATAAATGTCAGATATAAAGACAAAAGTCTAAAACAACATTAAATGCTCACTTCGTGCTGATTTAGTCATCATCAAAAAGGAGCTGATGACAGCCAAACTTAATTTTTCTTTCCTTTCTCTGCCAAAACAATGGTGTTATACAAACACACAGTTACAACAGCCAAAGAAGAGTTAAAGTAAGAGGAATTGGGACCAAGAGCCCAACTAAAGCAAACACTGATCACCACAATGGTAACTTAAAATGAAACATCAACATCTAAACCTCATCTAAACAATGTAAGGAAATTAAATTGATATAAACATGAGTTTTAATTTAATGCATCCTGAGTGTTTAATTGGTCCAGAAACAGTATAAATTGTCTAAATGAGACCATAACTGATGTTGAAAATATGTCCACAATGGCCACATTTGAACTAGTTTTTAACACTGTCCGAAGGGTCCATGAACGTCTAGATCGGATGTGCAGAACACGTCAAAAAAAGACGTCATAAAAACTTTCATTCTGGCTCCTCAGTGGACGTCTTTTCAACGTCCGACTTTTGTGACAAAGACGTTGAAAAGACGTCTTTTGGACATCATGTTGTTTAGTGGGTTCATGTGAAAAAAGGTGTTCCTCTGTGTGAGCCTTTTAAACTATATAGCCTACTGAATGGACGTTGAGAAGTATATAGTTTAAAAGGCTAACACAGCACAAAATGCAAGAAAAAAGGATATTCAATATCAATATAATTCATTCTTACGTCACAATTTAGCAAAACTAAATTGAAAAAAAGGAGTGGCAATTATCCACTGATGAAGTAACCGGAGGGAGAAAAAACGAAAAATGGACGTTTGACTTTTTTTTAATGGACCATAGCCCCATAATAAACCATGAATCCGCTGTAGTGTGGACTGCAACGCTATTATTTACCTAATCTCTAAAAAGGGGTTCTGGATGCAATAGAGAAACCCTACATAAACTTTCCCAACATTTGTTTTAACATTCTTAAAAGTAATGTAAATTACGTTTGCAACAAGTGTGGTTTTCGCTGTGGGTTTATGGGGTGGCCTAGAATAGATAAGTGTTGAATATTGAAACAGGAAATACATTTCAGATTTCAATATTAATTAAAAAATAATTATCTTACACCATTAATTAAATTAATTAATCATAACTGCAGTGTAAATACATTCATGCCATTTCTGACCTGCATTAAACAGTCTGTGATAAATTCATATTTAGATGCAGCTTTTGGGGGTAAAAAGTCATGGCCATTGAAGCTGAAGTGAAAGAAATGGCTGGAGTGGATTGTGGAAGTTAGTCCTGTGGAGTCGGTCTCTTGGCAGGCTATAAGTCTGAGATACTGCTTCTCTAAATGTAGTCCAAGAGTTGGTTGACTAGTCAAATATCATGATCCTTCCTTACTAAAGATGGGGTGTAAAGATACACTCATGTCGCGATTTGGTAAAATACACAATACTGTAATCATGATACGATTTAAATGTAGTTCTCTCACTGAAACGTAATGTTTTTTAGATTATTAACGCTTTCAATGCAGGCATTCATTGGATCTCTTACAAGCCGCGCACACAACTCTTGCGCTGCTCACTGTTTCCCTTCTCTCCCTCTATAAATGCACTTACATGATCAAAATAAACCATCTAAAAAGCCTTGAATCATCATAATAGAACTAGTACAAATGTGATATGGTAATTTAAATGATGTTTGTGCTTTCACTATGATGAGTATGTGCTTCAGATGAACAATGCAATCAATCATCACAGTTTTAAACGTGTCAAAATAAATATTTCCAAACGTTAGACGCTAAAGGTAAGTTAATACAAAAATTAAAATTATGTCTTCATTTACTCACCCTCATGTCACAAAACATATCTGACCGTCTGTGTTTACTACAATATGTGTGTTGATCAGTAATTCTGTTCATCATGTCTCTTCAGAAGACTAGGATTAAACTGATCGATTGATTTTTTTTTTTTTTTTTTACAATGCTTTTATGACCTTGTTGGATCTTTTAAGTTTTAGGGGAATGGACTTTAAATAGAGGGACAGAAATCTCTCAGGTTTCATAAAAAAATCTTATGGGTTTAAAATGACACGAGGGCTGAGTGGATGATGAAAGAATAAATATTTATTCTTAAGGTATTTATAATACCTTATAAATGCAGTAAGCTCAGTCTTGGAGGGGAAAAAAACTATATTGCGACTGATTTTCACATCCACGATACGTTGTCTTATTTAAAAAAAAAATATTGCTATATCGTTTCACCCCTATTCCTTAGTACCTGATCTTGGGTGAGCAGCTGAGCATCATGTTCATTCCTGCGTCAGTCATGTTACAGTCCTCCAGATTCAGATAAACCTCTTTATCTCTGGACTGAGTGATCACGTAAGCCAAAGCACAACACTGATGAGGGTCAAGATCCTCTTCAGGCTCGAGCTGATGGTCCATCTTCTCCAGGAACATTAAGCACGCTTTAGGAGACTGGAGCTCATACAAGCACTGACACACATAGAGAAGATCAAACTCTTCACTTTCACTCTGAGGTTGGAGGAAAGTTTCCAAAAATTTCTCAATGAACCAGTCAGATGTTTTCTTTATCTGATCTTCTGGGAAGAGACATTTGATGAGTTTAATGTTGTGTTCTCCCAGAAGTCCACATAGGAAGGGAAGAACATGTTTCATGTGTTTATTCTTCTCAGTCTGACAGAGTTGTAGGACTTTCTCAATTTCGCCTGGATGTCCAAGAAGCCACAAAGCTGAGAAGAATTCCTGCATTGTGTTGTGGAGAAACGCACAGTATGTCATTGCAGAGTCTCTTATTGTGATCGTCTTCAGAAAAGCGTGAAAAATGTCTTTCTTAACACGGGTAATATCTAGAAATGTCAGGCACTTTTGCTTGGTTGCATTGAATGCACTTTTCATCAAGAAATAAACCTGATCTTTCACCTCTCTCTGGTATTTATCTATTTCCTCATTTTTTTTCTTTCCAACGTTCTTCACAGCATCACGTAAAATGTGGATGTACATTTCTGTGACTGTGTTTGGATGGTTGAAAACGGTGTCATTTTTAAATGGAATGAACGTGACAATCATGAATGCATACATTGGGACATGGCTGAGACTGAACAGCTCTTGATTCTTCAAAACAACATCTAGAAGAACAGGATCATGACCCAACATCTTCTGATAGTAAGCGTTGATAGACTCTTCGCTGAATCCTTCGACATACACTTTCAGTGTCGGCCATTTGGAGAAAAGTGGATCATATTCCACCTCTGATCTGCATGTAATTATAATCTTGGCATCAGGCAGGAGCTCGTGGTTCATGATCTTCCATAAGGTGGAATTTTCTTCTAAATCGACTACGCCATCAAATACAATGACAACATTCTCAGAGTTTTCTTCAATTTCTTGAAACACGTCTGTTCTGTCTTTATCCATTGGTTTTAAATATACGTCAAAGAAAAAATACTCCAAATAGTCATTGCTAGAACTGTGAGCCAAAACACCTTCATCAAAGTAGAACATGTAGTCCAGCTCTCGGTCCTCTTTCTCTGCCCACAGACGCAACATTTCCTGGACGACTGTAGTCTTTCCTATTCCAGGTTTGCCTATGAGGAGGATGCTCTTATCTTGGCATCTCAGCAGATCCACAGGTGAAAGTGCTTGTTGCTCAGTAGGAATGTAAGAGATCAGCTTTTTGGGCCGTAGCTTTTTGCATTTTTTGTTTTTCCATTTTATTTTGCATTGAGGAGTTTTCACCACAGAGTCTCTCTCTAAAACAACAGGTATAAAGTGTAAGTTTCCTTGTGCCTTGTCATCCGGATATTTACCGCAATGTTTTCTTTGCTCCTTCAGAATCATTTTTGCTTTCGTCTTGAGCGCTGTCTGGTAGTTTTGACAGGGCTTTGTACCTAAAACAGCAACAAAAACACAATTTAAATTGGAAATGTGTTAACTTCACCAAAATGTTTTTTTTTTTTTCATTTATCTTCTCACCAAATGAACAGCTGGTCTCTTCATCTTCCACTCTTAATGGAAAACAGCTGATCCAGGAGTGTAAATCAGGATCTAATGTCCTCTTCTTAGTGACATCCAAAATCTTGAGTAATTCATAACTGGCCTCTTCCCCTTTGTTAGTGACCCAATCCAATATACATCTGGCTTTATCAAACTCTGTCCTCTCGGCTTTGAGAGCATCGACCTCATGGTCATTGAAAACCCTCTGCTGATAAAGATTCTCAATGATCAGAGGAAGGTTCTTCATATCAGTCACCAGGTTTCTCCTGGCGTTTTTGAGGAACTCAATAGCAGATTTCCGTGAACAAGCCATAATGCAGGCATTCCAAACCTGAGGTACAAGACAGATGTACTCATACAACATTACAATTATTAATCAAATTTCCACATTTGAGCAATTTCACACAGGTGTGTGTACTGTAGAAAAAAGTCTTAATACACTAGGCTTATGTGAACTTAATTCTCTGTGATAGTACTCAAAGTGCATTAGTTAAAAATAAACTAGTAAAACTGAATTAACATTCTGGAGAGGAATATAAATAAAGCTGCAGTCAATTACTGTTTATATTTAGCTCTATTTGATGCCAAACGCAAACAAAAAATGGTGCTAACACAGACTCATGCTGTGCTGTAATACTATCAAATCATGATCCTAACCTTAATTTTGTTACCAAAATCTATGATGGCCAGTGATTCCTCTTTAATGAATTGTTACTTTGGTGTCCAAGACGTCGTGAGCCTAGAGACTGAACACCGTGAGTTTTTACCGTGAGAATTGACAAACACAGAAGCGCAGAGGATAGAGCAAAAAATAAATAAAAAATGCTGGTCACAAATAAGAAGTTTGAAAAAAAATGCTGGAGGATTTGGATATAAGAGAAGAGGAGCTACATCCTGCGCCGGGTCAGAGGTCACCCTTCTCGACTCTCTCATGAACGTGCGTATACGGCCTTTCCTGGAACCCAGAGATTATAGTTTATAAAGTTTTAAATATGGATATTTTTTTCCTAAAAACTCATCGCTGTGATTCAGATGGCATTTATTAACCCACTGGAGTCATATGGATTACTTTTATAATGAATGGATTCACTTTTTGGAGTTTCAAAAACTCAGGCACTATTCAATGCAATAACAAAAGTGGGACAAGACAGGATATTATTTAATATGTTCCTTTAATTAAATGGCTAAAATATGATTACGAATAATAGATTAAAATGTAATATATTACTAAATATATCTATTGTAAACTTGTCTTTAACTTCAATTTGTCCTATGAAAAACAGGATAGTAATTACTGATGTACACCACAAATTTTAGAACGGTAAGATTTTGTAACATTTTTGAGAAAAGTCTCTTCTGTTCAGCAAGGCTGAATTTATTTGATCCAAACAACAGCAAAAACAGTAATATTGTGAAATATTATTACAATTTAAAATAACTGTTTTCTATGTGAAGATATTTTAAAATGTAATTCATTCCTGTGATCAAATCTGAATTTTCAGCATCATTACTCCAGTCTTCAGTGTCACATGATCCTTCAGAAATCATTCTAATATGATTTGATGCTTAAGAAACATTTATGATTATTATCATGTTGAAAACATCAGGATTCTTTGATGAAAGTTCAAAAGAACAGCATTTATTGGAGATAGAAAGCTTTTACAAGAAAGTTTGTAACATTGTACACTACCATTCCAAAGTTTTTTTTTTTTGGGGGGGGGTATGAATATACAGCAAGGATACATTAACTTTATCAAATGTGAAAGTAAAAACATTTATAAAAAAATTCTATTTCAGATAAATGCTTTTCTTTTTATAATGTTCTATTCATCAAAGAATCCTGAAAAAAAAATACACAACTGTTTTCATCATTGATAAAAATCAGAAATATTTCTTGAAATCATCGTACCAGAATGAATCCTGAAGGATCATGAAACACTGAAGACTGGAGTAATGATGCTGAAAATACAGCTTTGATCGAATAAATTACATTTTAAAATAAATTCAAATAGAAAACAGTTATTATAAATTGTAATAATATTTTTACAATACTGTATTTTGGATCAAATAGGCCTAACTGGCTTGGTGAGCAGAAGAGACTCTTTTTAAAAACATTTTAAAATAGGCTACCGATCTAAAACTTTTGAACGGTAGTTTACATTACATTTTACATAAATGTAAAGGCTATTTTCATGACAAGTGCACATAAGTTCATTTCTAGACTTAAAGTAATAATAACTTGCATTGTTCGGAGACTATTTGACGTGCTTTGTGCCTGTTTAAGTTCGGCCAGCGCTCAGCGAGCACAACTGTTTATTTTACACAGCCATTATTTTACAGATAGGCTAACTGTGTTTCTATCGCATTTTTAAAGCGGCGCAATTATCATCCTTCCGGGTTATCCGAAGATTTACAGTAGCCTACAGACTTACTGAGCTCAATTCCCTTAATAGAAGCGACCAAAACGAAACCAAAACCACATCGAAATTTGTTTGTCTCAGGCCATTCATAACTGCAGTCCCCGAATCTACATCGAAATTTGTTTGTCTCAGGCCATTCATAACTGCAGTCCCCGAATCTGTATGGTTTAAGTTCTTTATTTTTATTTTTTTTATTTGTTTCACAGCATTCACAAAACTAAAGTTACTGTAAAGAGAATATACGGAGACGATGGGCCAGCTTGTTCAGGCAACGCGATTACTGACATAAAATGACGCAAAGCATGAAAGCATACGTACAAATACAAAGCATAGAAAGATTTTTGTTTCTATAAAAATGCAAAATCAAGATATTTTGAGCTATTATGTACTGGATTGAAATTTACCCGCAGCAAACTTTCAGACAGCACAGGAAAACAGACGGACCTCACTACTTCTTCTTCTTTTATGTTGGCAAACCAGCTTGAGATGCATTTCCGCCTCCTACTGGGATAGAGTGTAAATCCTCGATGAAAGAAAGAAAGAAAGAAAGAAAGAAAGAAAGAAAGAAAGAAAGAAAGAAAGAAAGAAAGAAAGAAAGAAAGAAAGAAAGAAAGAAAGAAAGAAAGAAAGAAAGAAAGAAAGAAAGAAAGAAAGAAAGAAAGAAAGAAAGAAGCCTAAATCCGTAATCAAATGTATCTCTTAAATACTTTAGATTAGAATAATATCATACACGCCCTTAACCTTTTCTGTGCATTCAAAAATATAAAATATATTGTGTCATAGACTAAATAATTTAGGGGATTTTACATGATTAATTCAAGTAAATTCCATTAAAGAAATCAAGCCTTAAAAAATCCTCTAAAATATCATGTGTAATAGTGTTACCATATTTTTAAAGTAAATAGCACATAACATGTTTACAGTGTTGTAGGGTCCCGTTATCTGCTGAATAAGTCACAGAGTAACACAGAGTTCCAACCCTTGGTCCAATTAATCAAATTCATTATCCAATTATAAATGTTTCCTTTAATTCCACATCAATGAAAACACTAGGCGGTAAAGAAGTACAGTAAGAACTAAAAAAAAAAAACATTTGGATATGCCTTATTTGTCTGCCACAAAGTTTATGTGTACTTCAATGTAAACAGTGCACTTCAATGTAAAAAAGTCTGAAAAAATAGGGCACAATGTACAGTATAAATATGACAGAATCTTCCATATTGGTATTTTACAGGTGTTTTCCTTGTATTTTGATAGAAGTACGCTTTGCATTGGGTTGTGTTCTAAGGATAAACGGAACATTCTTTAAAATGACTGAAATGTCCTGGCAGAAAATTACCAGTGCATTTTCTGTTTTTATTTTTTACAGTGAATATCAATAGTGTATGTTTTTGTTTATAAATAGCATACATTAAAGGTGCAGTGTGTATTTTTTAGTGACATCTAGCGGTTCGGTTGCGAGTTGCACTAAGGGCTCAGCCCACTGCTTACCCCTCCCTTTCGAAGAAGCTACGGTGGCTAAAACGGGACAAACATATCGTCGTCTGGAGACAGCAGAGAATAGCCAGAGTAAGCCAAGAGTGTGCAACATTGTCACTGTTTCTGTACCACAGTCCATTATAAACCACATCATGGATAAAGTTTACAAAGCCATAGTCAGGTGAGGATCAAGGGTCTTAATATATAATATAATAATAGTAATCAGCTGATTGTCTCACAAACGTAACCAGCACATTTCTCCCCACATAGCAAACCCATAATACAGCGAGGGAGAAGAACCACATGAAACTATGCAACTATATATTTTTTCTAACAGGTAAAAGTTTAGCTGGCTAAATATGAGCTGTTACTGTGGCTGAGCTGGTTAAAGCGTGGAGCCTTGTTTAAACTCGACGCGTCCGCATGAGCCCAAAGGTGCACGCGGCAAAAATGACATGATTGTAACAGCGCGCCTCCGCATCCCCTAGACACCACTTACTACACACAAAAGGCTTTTTTTCTCTGATTTTGAAAACTCTTCGCGATCGACTTAAAATGCTTCCAAGATCGACTTGTCGACCGCAATCGACGGGTTGGTGATTCCTGTAACATACTGTTTTACGGTCAAGAGTAATCGGCTGTCTCACAAATGTAACCAGCACATTTATCCCCACATAGCAAAGCCATAACACAGCGAGGGAGAAGAAATAAGTTACATGAAACAATCCAACTACATATTTTACACCACTGACAAGGGGAAAGTCACTACTCACGGTGTTTATGGCTAGCTTTTAGCTTTCTGCTGCTTCTCTTTCAAGGCAGTGACGAAACGCGCTCTGTAGCGCTGTTTGTTCGCGTTCGGCTACAGTAGAAACATGACGTCACAATGTGTCGACCTTCATAGAAGGGGGTGCCCGCGGTTATGTAGATATAAATGTCTCATTCTAAGATAATAAAAACATTACGGTTTATTAAGTAAGTTCTTTATACACCATTGAAAACATAGTTATGGATGTCATATTGCATTTCTGTTAATAGATACTCAATTTTTACACATTGCACCTTTAATACACTACACTCTGTATCTACCTTAACCTTAGATTTAATTTGTACCTTTTTTTGCAGTTGGCAAAGAGCATGGTAGGTTGGTGCAAATATATCTTATGACATCTACTCAAGAACAGACAACATTAGACTCAATAGTGTCAGGTGAAATTCATTATAGCTCAGCTGAAATGTGGAGATGCCGATGATTCAATGGGTTGAACGGGTCAGACAGGTAAAGGATAACTTTACACATGGAGAGAGGAAAATAATCTCATAACCTGGTCAAAAACTGATTTTTTTTATACAGGTTTGCTCTGAAGAGAATGCTGATCTTTCCATATAAGAAAACAGGAGTTAGGCTGCTCAAAGACACTCGCCTCATAGAGGCAGCTTTCCAGAGCTGATGTTCCACTTGTATCAGAAGTTGAAAATATCCCAGAAGTTGTTTTACCAGCACAATCATACTGAAAAAAAAATGAAAGTGGTGAAAAGGGACATGATATATTTCTTTATAAAGTTCCTCAGCTCCTCAAAAAATGTGGTAGCACAAGACATCCAGGAGGGGGAGTTGCTGCTTTATCGATTACATCTGGTGCAGCAGAGACAAGAAATAACAGTCAAAAGAGCCAAATACAAGTGGATCATGCCCTGATTACATCCCTCAGCACTGCTGTAAAAGGACTCGAGGGCCTTTCACACTATCAGCTATCAGTTGTAAAAACGGTCACATAAATGTATCTTCACAAAATGAATATAAATCTGATCTTCAATTCCTGTGCTATATGGAAATTCATTGGAGTTCACAATGACAAACACTGAAGCATCTGCTTCCTGAAGAGATACTCATCTGTGGCAGGCCAAATCTGTGGATATGTATTTTTGCAGTTGTGTTGTGCTATCTGGCTAACAATCACATGCACCTTCATTTTTTTTAACTGTTTTGGAAGGAGTAACCTACATACAGTATGTGGATTGAACAAACAACTGCATTTACACTTCTGAACTGTTTTGCAAACAGTTTTGAATTCGTTTTGGAGGGCATTTACACCTGGTCTTTTCACGATCCAAAGATTAGGTATCTATCCGATCAGTGAAAACACAAAGTGGACACGTGTTAACAGGTCCCTTGCCTTGTTTCAAAAATTAAGTTGAGAACAGCTTAAAAAAGAAAATAAATTCCAGTTGCGGCCAGCAGCGTGATGTTGAACAGGATATTGCAGAGGTAATAGCAAGGGAATGAGAACTAAGTTTTAGTAAACAACGTTAAATTTAATATAACTAATACAGAAAAAGCACATTGCAGTGGGTAATTACTACTGAAAGTCATTTTTATGCATATAATATATAATCCTCAAAATTCTTTATTCAAGCAGTCAATACTACACCATCAGTCTATATACCAGCAGTTGGCATGTGACATTATTGTAATAATTTCCCATGTATGAATTTTTTTTTGAAAAAATGATCAGTTTTGTCAGTAGTTAGCATATATCTGTACTTACAGAACAAGGTAGCAAGGAAGAAACTTGCCTTTCAGCATCACTGGGAAACAGGCATGGAGACTTACCATCAAGACAGTTCAGTTTGTACAAACATAACTCACTTGAAAGCAGCAGGTGACCTAATATTATATATATTTTGTTTGAATATTTTGAACCAAATGGGCATAATCTATGAAAAGCAGAGCACAAAACATTTCCAAATGCTTGCATATATCACAGCTTCATTAAACATTTATGAGCATTTCATTTACTCAGTGTCATATACAAAATGGCCTGAAGGTTAAATAATGGAGCACTGCATGAAATGTTCATGAAGAAGCACTCAAGTGCACTCAACTTTGCAAAGCACTCAACTTTGTACTTGTATCACAGAAAAACTGAACTGACACTGAACTTAACTGAAAAATTCTAGTCTCATATTTCACCAATAACGGGCACCAGCTGTCCAAGACATGCTGGTGAACACTAGACAGTTCCTCAAAGTCAGCACAAGGACTGCAAGAATGTGGGGTGTTGTCAACAAATGATGAAAACAGGCTGTCTTATGTAACTCTATTGAGTGATGAGTCATGTGTGATACATCTGGAGAGAGAACATTTCATGTTTGATCAGTCGTCTCTTACGCACATTAAAGAGTATAAAATTAGCACCGTTCCTTCGCCAGGCTCCGGAAATGAGTCATCTTGTTGGCTGTCGTCTCCTCCTGTATTAGGCATATAATATAAAGTTACCTGAAGGAAGTGAACAAAAATCTTTTAAAATTTTAAAATGTATCTTCTTTGCCTATTTCCATACATTATTTTTAATAACTCGCTTTTTCCCCCTCACTTTTTTTCCCTGATATTCTCCAGTCCTTTTTATTGGAGGAGAATGGTAGGCCTATGTTTGATAAACATGCACACCAGGTCTTCCGAGATATATATTTATGGCCAATTTTTCTAAGGAGTTATTTGAGCAAAGGATTAAAATGCCTATAATTCTACTTTCCACATTTCCACAAAGAGTTGACCAAGCAACCACTTATAAATATTTTTTTTTTAAAAGGACAAACAACTGAAGCAAACAACCTTTATTGTCCTGACACTTTTTATATGTATTGTCAGCTGCAAGTGCTCCACAAATTCGCATGTGTTCCTTAAGAAAACAAATGCAAAGGACAAATGAGGACAAGCAGCAAAGGAGCTTATTGCTTATGTGAGAAACATCTCAGAGATGAGTCATTTCAGCTTTCGGTCAGTTGACATCAAGACTGACCACAACAAACTCGCTCGCCTCTCCTCTATTCCTGGATATAATGCAGTCAAGCCAAAAGACAGTGCTCAAAAGAGCATTATGACATCTTTATGATGCAAAGACAGCATAGAAGCTGCCTGAAGAGTTACATATCCTGTGAAAAGGGAAAAAAAAATCCCACATTTAAACAGGGCTGTATATTGGTGCTTGAGATGTCATGAAGGCATTTACACAGGTATTTAAAATTAAAGAAATAATGTGATTAAAATTGCCGTTTTTAATCAAATTCCACTGGTCTCACATTAGTTTGAAAATCAGACTCATCTTAATGTTTTTGATTCACTAAAGAGAACCGACTGATAAGAGTCATTTAATCATGAATCAGACTTCTCTAGTCGCACTGCATGATTCTGCACGAATCACCGCTCCACATTTTGATTGACAGCAGTCACAACCTATAGTGACCGTGTTTACTCCTTTCCTTTCAACCATTGGATAGGATTTAAAAACGGCTTTTGTATTTGTACTTCTGACGAAGCGCTGTGTGAAAAACTACGCCGCAAAAGAATAAATGCTTTCTTAAAAAGGCAAAAGAACGTTGCATGCAGGTTTTCTTAAAGGGTTAGTTCACCCAAAAATGAAAATTAAGTCATTAATTACTCACCCCCATGCTGTACCAACCCCGTAAGACCTTCGTTCATCTTCGGAACTTCGGAACAACTGAAGATATTTTTGATTAAATCTGAGAGGTGGATCACTGCTACATAGGCTGCCTAAGGGAATGAAACTTGACGGCCCAGAAAGTCATTAAAGAAAATGTTTAAATATTCCATGTGCCTACAGTGGCTCAACTATAAGTTTATCAAGCGACGAGAATACTTTTTGTGCAAAAAAAAACATAAATAACGACTTTATTCGACTATTCCATTACTTCCTTGTGGGCCTGAGACGAGAGTTCAAGAGATTTCCACAACGCATGCGCGAGAACTGAACAAGAAGTAGTAGAAGAAGAACGTCCTCATCTCAGTTCTCGCGCATGCGTTCTGGAAATCTCTTCAACTCTCGTCTCAAGGCGCGCAAGACACCCCAGACCCCCTCTCTGGGGTGTCTTGCGCAACAAAACTCAATTGTTTGATTGTATATGCAATCCAAGCATCCACAAGATTCCACTGCTTGTGGAGCCGCTACTGAATTAAAAAGGTACTGACAAGAAACCAGGTTTTTTTTATTGCCCTCTGGGCTAGAGCGGATAAGACCCTGTTTGAGATGTTATATAATCCATGTTCTCTCTCATATAAGCACTTTTTTTTTTGCACTAATCCACTGTCAAAATGACTACACAAATGTAATCTAATACATGTGCATAGATATATGCTGCGTGGATTAAAAAGTAACCATAAATAGCTGATTTAAAATGAAACCAGATATAGCAGGTTGAATTTCAATTGGCTGTCAACGTTTTAATCGTTCATCATCTGTAAAAAAAAAAATCATTATGAAAGTGCTTCCAACAGTGCCATTACTGTTATATTTGTGATGTGTACTCTTCACATTTATAACAGTTTTTAAAACAATTTCTTTTTGTTATAGTTATCATCCTTGGTGTGAATGGGCCTTTAGTCAAATATGATATGCACTGCTCTATAATATGCTATTGCTGTAAGAATCTGTGGTTTACACTGGCACAGTTCAACAGAGGCTGAAAGACTCATAAGAGGGAACATAGCAGTGCAGATTGGGTAATGTGAGGTAAGGTCAACTGCTCTGAGCTGGGAGCATTTTGGGACATCAACCACCGTTGACCAATCACAGCATGAAATGCGAATTAGCTGAAGGCTCTGGTATTTGATTGGCTGGTTGGATCAGGGCCAAGCACCACTCTCAGCTAAACTCTTCTAGGAAACTGTTGTTCTGAGACAGCATGTTTTTTAGTATACACGAGGGAGTAAAAGCTAGTCTAGAAACAGGCTTAACACCACGAGTCGGTGGCAGACATTTCAAGAAATGTCTTTTTAAATAATATGATCATTTCACACTGTTTAAATCTATTCCACCACTTGTCTTCCTTATGTAAGTGCTCTTAATGCTGCTCCATGGATGTAGAGACAGCACAATGGGAATACTAAGAAACATGAGCAACACTTTAATATGCTGTAGGCTGTTTATAGTTGCTGTTTCAAGGACAAAGCCAAAGAATATTTTCTTCAGGCAGAAAACAAGATGTTTACTACTTATCTTTATATAGGGTGCACTCAGTCAGCAAATTGATTCAGAAGTTAATTAATTTGACCAAATGAAACATGTACTTTCATAAAAAGGTCAAATTAGAATTTTTTTAATAAATGTAATAACCTTGGCTTCCTCGATGTTTGTTAAACAACACTGACTTTGATTTGGCTGACACCTTTTTCAAATATTAATTATTACTCTAAAACAAAATTGCTTCACTCTTTTTTTTGTAATGATTATAAAAGTTAATTATGGCAAGCTACTTATGCCAGCATTCCTTTTTTTCAAGAATCAGTCTTTTTAATAATCTCCAGTTTCACCACTTAGAATTTTTTTTGTTTTGACAAAAATATCTAAATAAATGTTTTTATTCAGATATTGAAAACATGTTCATCCTAAAAAAAAAAAGTATGTTAAAGGCATTTTGAAGGAATTTCTTTTTCAGTGTATTTTGAATTTCTTCAAAGTTAAACAAGTTGGCAACTAAAAAAAATTAATTGCAATAGTATTTTCTTCCTTA